AAGGAGAATTCACTGGAGGCAACAACTGATCCTGGCTTGGCTTCCAAATCCAGCTTGTGGTCCCAAGTCATCAGATGCATCCGGGATAGATTGGATCAAATTCACATTGGCTCAAGGTAATGGTTACTTCTGGGAAACAGGTCAATTGGGGTGGCCCAGTCCATGCAAGGAATGGGCTACCACCACCTCCTGTCCTTACCAGCACTCTCCCAATTGTGACACCAAAGCCCTCATCCAGGAACATAAATAAGGTGGTGTTAGTGCCAGAATGACAGGCTGGTGACTCGTTTTAGTGTGGGGTTTGATCCCTGACTTCACTAAAGATTCGAATTGAAATGCGCGCCTCTTTCTAAATAGACCTAATAATAAAACATGTAATATAATCAGTGAAGTCTTTGTATACATACAAAATCTGTCCTGAAAAGCAGTTACACAACAATTAATTAAGCACCTACTGTATCACTGCCTTCACACAAAGACCAGAGGTGCACAGGCTGTAACCTATAGGACCATAAAGGGGAGGAAGGACATGGGTACAGGATCCTGGACATGTCAGGAGTGAGCTGCACACACACATCCAAGGTGTCTTGGCAAGGGGGACCTAGAGATTCAGAGTCAGGAAAGAGCACAAGAAGAGGGCTGTCTTTGATGTGACATTGGGAAGGAATAAGGAGTTTCAACCCAATGGGACTATGGCAGGGACAGTATTGAGGGGAGTCCACAGTGAACAAGGCCTCAACATAAACCTGGCAGGCTTACACAGAAATCAACCTGGAGTTCACAAGGGCAGTTGTGTGAGTCAAGATCACAAGAATGCATTTGAGCCATATGATGACAGTCCATGAGGGTCAAACTAAGGAGGTCAATAGTGCTGAGAGCTGTTTCTCAGCCAGAACACTAGACTCCTTAGCTTGGCTGCCACTTACAAGCATGGGATGTTGGTCAACTTACTTGACCTCTCTTGTCACATAAGCAGCTGGAGAGAAAGGATATGCTCACATCATGGGGAGGTGTTGAGGGAGAAGACATGAACTGCATATCTATACCCAGGCAATTGGAGGCTCCTCATCCACTTCCCTGTCCTTGGAATGTAGGTTCCACTTGCTTGGTCCACTTCCAGAAGCTGCCACAAGCCAATGCCTTGAGATAGTGATGTGTTGTTGAGACCATCTGAACTGGGTATGGGAATGAACCCACTAGAAGCTTCCTGTAAACTTTCAGATTCTGGCAAGTGGGTGTAGATATCTACGCACCTTGCCGCTATGCAAGACAACCCTTGTATGTAAGCTCCCTATATCATTAAACCTGCCATATACCAACCCAGAGTGGCCAGCCTTTTCTTCAATCTCTCCCAACTTTCTCTGTAAAATGGTTGCCTTCAGATTACACCTGGGAAGCTGCAGAGGAGGTTGCAAACCAAGGGAGGGTGACCACACATGTCACTTTTCTCAGTAGAATCCTAGTTTATGCTACTCTCCTGACATGCCATCCACTTTGTGACCTCTTTCACACTCTAAAGTACCCCCCATTGGACCAATAAATGTCATCCTCCTCCTATGCATTAGTTTGTTGTTGACAAGATTAAAGGAGGGTTGCTCCAGTTCCTTGCCTCGAGTGACCACTCTATTATTGTTTGCCATTCATGTTTTATTGAATTTTGGAAACAGATAAATATCCATTGCTGCTGGGCTTTGAGAAGATTACTAAGCCAACAGTATGGAAGATGTTTGACAAAGAAGTTCTGTGTAAATTATATCTCAATAAAACTCTTCCAAAAAGAAGAGTATCAAGTAAGCATGGATCAAAATACAGTGGTTTTTATTCACACACAGGACTTTTACCTCAGATCTCAACATGACCTTCTCTAGATCTTTCAGAGAATGTGAAGTTCAACCAAGTTTCCAGTGATCTCTGATGATCCTAGTAGTCCTTCAAGTTTTATCATAAGAGCGTTCTCAATTTTATAAAATGAATCACTGGCAGCTGCCATGTACACAGCACCTGTTCTGTGCCCAGCCCTGTTGTGAGGACTTATGACAATCCCCGGACTATTCCCAGGGTACAAAAAGACACAGCCTAATGAAGTGTGGATCACTACATCAAAAACTAATGATGTATTGTAAGGTGACTAACATAACATAATAAAATTAAATTAAAAAAAAAAAAGAAATCTCCACAGCAGGCTTGGCCCATGGCAAGTAGTGAGCCTGGTCTAGGGATGGCTTAGATACTGTGAACAACCAACATCTCACTGCCTTCAGATGTCTCCAAGGCCAAGGCCTTTCCTACCATTGCCGGGCTGCTAAGTCCCTCCCTCTCCAAGTTCTAGACTTTGGCATGATCTTAATGAAGAAGAGGTTCACTTCCAAAGAACAGGCCTGAGGTTAATGTCCCAACCGCCCTGCAGGTGAGGGCAGAACTAATTTTACAGAATGAGTGAAAAAATATGTGGGATATCTTCTCAAATACTGCAAGTTGATTCATATCAGTAACTTACAATTTAAAACCACTTAAAGTATATCTAAATTTTAAAATAACTCCTTCATAGGCTTTGTGCCAATACATGAAACACTGAGAAAAGATGGCTCTCACTGTCTGTTATTACTTTATGAAGTATGGTAAGTCCTCAAATGACCAAAATATTGGTTGACTATATATCAGGTCTTGCATGAGCCTGAAGACAAGCCAAATATAACTCTCTCTTGCCACATACTTTCTCTCTCTCCCATGACACATGGCATTCGGGGAAAATCTCTACCTATACAAATTCACCCTTACAGCATGGTTTGTCTTAATAGGGGATCAATAAGTGTCACACAAATGCCCAAACTGAAGACTCCTTCATTCCTCTAGTTCCTGAGCATCATCTGGGGACCTGACTTAAAGTCCCTTTTGAAGAGAAAAAATCAGGCCTAGGTACACATGCATCCTGATCTTTTGGTTTCTTCTATTTCTCCTTGTCAACACTGGCTTGTCACTATGTCCTTTGTGGGCTGAGTTAACTGTTTGTCATTCACCGGAGAATAATCATCATCTGCGGTGGAGAAAACATGAAGCTAAAAAAAAAAACACACCTCTTATTGTGGGCACCATGTACATGATGTGGGATTTTATTTTAATTCATCTTATTCCATTTTATTTTACTTTATTCTATTTTATTTTTTGCTGAGTAAGAAACTTATGCAAGGATCTGTGTCCCAGCAGGTAACAGGGCAAGTCCATACCAACTGGGGCACCAAAGGGAGTCCCCATTAAGACCTAGCCACGCAGTCTCTCTTTCCATCACTACAGTCCTTCATTTGCTATGGAATGGAGATTGGTAGCAATGGTCAACTGGAGGAAAGCACACACATTAGAACATCACATTTTTTCCTACTTCTAGCCCATCCCTAAATTAGTATTGTTCTTGGCAATTTATGCTCCAGCTGAATGATGGGAAGAAATGAGTCCCTAATAATCCAAACAGCAAATATTGCATTTATGGGTAGTTAATTCATCTCTCTGGCTCTCTCATCATTTTCATTTTCTTTTTGTTAACTTGAGCCTACTTTGTGTCTCTTGTTCCTATTACCCTCCTATTGTCCCTGCTTAACGGATATGGTTTTTCTATTTCTATAGTAGGAGGTTGTCCTGTGTCTCTCTTGACACCAAGAGGCACACTGTGTTTCCTTTCCTTAACTGGACAAATACCAAGTGCTCCAGGGCCTCTGTAAGTGCTGTTCCTTCTGCCTAGAATATTCTTTCCCAGATCTTCCCCTTGATATCATTGTCCACTCATCCAGGCTTTAAAGTCTGTCCTCCTGTAGCTGGTCTGGACCTCTGTACAGGACACTGCCCCTCATGGTTGTTTTGTTGTTCTGTACAGCAATCATTTTCTGATGTCACTCATTCAATTTTGGGAGTGTTTGTTGCCTCCTTTGTGAGAAGTAAGCTCCGCAGTGTCGAAGTTCTGGTTGAACAACTGAATCTGGGGCACACAGCACAGCCACTAGTCATGGGGAAAGCTCATGGTTCCTATTGAGCAGTGGATGGATGAATGGTGGATGGATGGATGAATGGATGAATGGATGAAACCTCCCATTTACTCATCATTACCTTGTTTGAAGCCCTGGATAAGCTTTTTACAGAGTGTCTGTCATCCTTACAAAACCAGGCCTGGATTTATTCCTGCTCATTTTAGAAATGAGGAAAAAGAAGCTTGAAATGACCAGCAGTTTCACTTGCCCAAGGACACTTCATGATTAGGTGTTGCATCCAAGATTTAAATCCATATCTGCTTAAGCCCAGATATGGTCATCCTTCTAACAGCACTGCTTCTGCTGAGCAACCACTTGCTCTACAGCTTCACATCATCCTTTGAATCAGTGGGGAAAAAATCCTAAACAGAAAAAATATAGATGATAGATAGATGATAGATAGATAGATGATAGATAGATAGATGATTGATAGATAGATGATAGATTATAATACAATGAATTTATGAAATTGAGTTAATTAAATGAGATATTCTTTGTAAAAAGAGCCTTCAGAGAGAATGAGACATTGTGAGTATTTCTCAAATATCAAGCACCTTACTAAAGTGTCTATGGGCCAGAGAAGTCTTTCCCCAGGAGGAGGGAGGGGTGTGAGGATATGAAGACCACACTAATAATAAAACAAGGATGACAACACAGGCTCACTTTACTGTAATCTGATTAGTTAGCAAGCACTTTTGCTTAATTTCATCTAAAATCGTGTATCATTGAGTTCCAAAATTGTTTTGGGTCCAACAAGCTCTGTCACCTTGGTTTCTACAAATGGAGCACAGACTGGCTGGGTTGCAGTTGATTCTTCCTGTCATTTCCTGGTCCAAAGCCAGGTTCATTGTGTGACTCATTACCTCATTTCTGGGAGAGATTAAGGTGGTGAACAAGAGAATAAAAGGAGGACTCCTAGGTGCTCACTGCCAAAGTCAGTTCCTTCCTCCCTGTCTGAATAACCAACTAGTGCTGCCCTCAACCATGAAGCTGCTGAGAGTCCTTGTGCTGATTGCCCTCCCCCTTTACTGTTCTGCAGGTGAGTTCTGTGTGGGGAGGGCAGCTTTTGGGCTGAAGATTGTGTCAGGGCCCTGTGGAAGACCTCCTGTTCCCCAAACTCCAGTGCAGAGCACCTCATTTCTCCAGTGTCTTTGTGTTTCATGGACACTAGTGTTTGGCTTCTCTGGGCTATGGAGGTAGTGTGGGGGTGGGGAGGGGGTTACACATGCTTTCAGGCTTAAAGGAAATCCTAGATCCTGAGCTTACTCTGCTAGATTTGAGAACTCAAGACCATTCACCGTATTCTTTCTGAATGTATGTGTCTACTGGGACATAAGAAGATGAACAATATCCTAGGGACACCCAAAAAGGGCTTCATACCTACATAATTGAGACCATGTTTGCATGTTTTCTTCCAGGTTCTGGATGCTCACCTCTAGAAGAGGTGATTAACAAAACAATCGATTCTCAAGTAAGCGTGGAAGAATACCAAAATTTACTTAAACCCTACTCATCTGGTCCTGTGACTGACCAGGCCCTAGCACAACTGAAGCAATGTTTTCTCAGCCAGTCAAATGAAACTCTGAGCAATGTTGGAGTGATGATGGTAACTATGGTTTCTTCTAATGAGCTTTAAAACCACTGAACAGGGACAAGCAGGCTCTAAGTTTGTCACTCATTATGCCACAGCAAGTGTTACACATGCCTTCTTTTATTTCAGTGAATTTAATTGTGGGTGCATGTGAATCCTTTGACATCCAGAAAGCCAGCCAAGGTCCCAGTGTTGACTTGCCTCTTCACTTTGTAGAATCATTAGGGAATGATAAATGAAAAAGGCCAAAGCAGGGAAACAACACACACACACACACACACACACACACACACACACACACACAATTTCTATCAAGGTAAAAAATGTCGGATTCTCAAGAAGGACCTCACTTGTAGAAATGATCAGCAAAAAGAGATCCCTTTCTTCATAAAAAAGAGGAAAATGTTCATAAGAATTTTTAATAGAATCCAGAGAAACCCACTTGAAGAAGATTCTGTACATCTTTTCTTTTATTAGATTTTATTTATTGGACAGAGAGAGACACAGAGAGAAAGGGACTACAAGCAGGGGGAGTGGGAGAGGGAGAAGCAGGCTTCCTGTTGAGCTGGGAGCCTGATGCGGGGCTCGATCCCAGGACCCTGGGATCATGACCTGAGCCGAAGGCAGATGCTTAATGACTGAGCCACCCAGGTGCCCCGAAGATTCTGTACATCTTATGAAAAGAATTTAGAATGCACTTTAAAGCAATCCCAATGTGTTAGTATAAGTGATTGGATTCCTTGACCATTAAATTTAAGATTCCTTGACCATTAATTTAAGACCATTAATTTAATGAATGACAAGTAGAGATCATGGTTATGAATCGGCCATTGGGGATGGAATTGCATAAAATAATAATCAGTAGTGTGTTTGCTCTCTATATTTTATTCCTTTTTCTAATATGCCATTGAAAACCTTCCAGGATAGACAATGTAGAAATATTGCCAAAACAAAAGGTAAAAGTATCCTTCACTGAGAAGATGCTGACACAGCACAGCATAGATGAACCTTGAGCACATTATGATAAAGGAAATAAGCCAGTGAAAAAGACAACTAATGCATGAGGTCATTTACATCCATTTTAGAGTAGCTAATTTCCTAGAAACAGAAGGTAGAATAGTGCTTTCAGGGGTTGGGTGGTATGGGAAATGGGAATTGTTCAGTGGGTATAGGGTTTCACCATAGCAAGATGAAAATGTTCTGGACATTGACTGCACCACAACATCAGTATACTTAACACTGCTGAACTGTATACTTGAGATGATGAAAATGGTCAATTTTACGTTACGTGTATTTACCATCAGAAAACATTTTAAAGACTGAAAAACCCTGCAACCTACGATAATGGAATTTTTTCTTTAAAAACCTCGATTAGACTGATCACTTGAAGTGCACATCTCCATTATTTTCTGGGTCTCAAAGGTAATGATTTCAGTTTCAGACTGTTTTCGGTATTTCTAGCACGTAAGGCCACACCAGAGCTCAAAAACGTCGCACTTACTTGTATTTGAGCTGAGATTTACAATTCTTTGTTGAAAATTGATAATACACACAACATATTTATGGGATATGCTATTTCAAGGAACAGGATACATGGACAAAAATTTATTACCGAGATCCCTGATGGGAAAGAGATCTGGAAACAGCAGCACCTCTGGGCATCAATAAAGTCTCCTCATCGTTAGAATGAGAGATGAGATCATTCCAATCTTAACTGAAACGCTGACTTTCTTGGATACCAGATATGTACAAACCCAGGAAGCCAAGGAGAAGAAATGTTTGTTTTTCAACTTTCCTTTTTTTTTTTTTTAAAGATTTTATTTATTTATTTGAGACAGAGAGAGTGAGAGAGAGAGAGAGCACATGAGAAGGGTGAGGGTCAGAGGGAGAAGCAGACTCCCTGCCGAGCAGGGAGCCTGATGCGGGACTCAATCCAGGGACTCCAGGATCATGACCTGAGCCGAAGGCAGTTGCTTAACCAACTGAGCCACCCAGGCACAACTTTCCTTTCTAACAGAGAGCTGAAAATCTGAGTGATGTCTCTGTTTTTGTTTTCCAGAACATGATATATGAAAGTAACTGGTGTGCTCTGTTTTGACCTTCATAAAACCTGGGCCTCCGAGGACTACAGAAACTGCTCAGAAACTGACTGCTGATTATATATGAACCACAACTTTCCTTTCCTTTTTGTCTTTTGATCTATAAACTGCAAGACAATTGTTGAAACCTCGAGTACATTTTCATTTCAATAAAGTACCTGCAAATGGAAAGTTCTTCTTATGTTATCTGATCAAAATGGAGGCTTTAGAGAGTCTCTGCTATCACACATGCGTGTGCCCACACACACATGCACACACACACTCATACATAATTCACTGGAGAGCACATGGATAAAGGACTTAGGAATGGGGAAAGCATTTTGTTCCTCCTCATGTGTAGCCCAACACAGTCCTCTCTCTGAAAATGAGTTCTTTCTCTTTCCTGGCCGCCATTTCCCTCAGGACCATGTGTGAAGATCTCAAGACTTAGGTTCTGGTGTTTGGGCAGCATGCAGATCCCTGAGACACTGTAGTCTTCCTCTGTGCTGTTAGCCCAGCTCACCATGGCTAGGCCTCTCTCATCTCCTGCCCCTGACCTAAGACTGCTGGCCAGGACTAGAGCCAGGGAGAATCATGACTCATACAAAGCAGGGGTGAATCCTGTCTTGATTTTAAATTTTAATATGTGGCATTCATTTTGATTCTTGGAATATTTCATTAAAATGTGATTTTCCCTAATTACTAAGATTGGGGTTGCCTCCCTGAAATTATGTGGGTGCCCCTAGTCCTGTCCCTGCAAGTGGCAACGTGGTCCAGTCTCTCCATCCCAATGACCGACAAAGCCAGGTAGGTTGAGGGAAATGTGTGTGTTCTGTAGGAAGAAGGCAGAGCCAGCGGTTTTTATACAGAACCATAACTCTCCTTGCTTTTATCCATCCCCACATTCCTGTCACCAGGGATAAGTTATTGCCACCCCTTCTGCTCACTACTCACGGGGTCCCCCTTCTCTTTCTTCACGGGCTATCCTGTCACCCTGGGAGACCCTGGATCCTTCCTCAGGACTGTTTCTCACTTTCCACCAGGGATGACTTCCACCAGGCGTAACACATACAGAGAATTAGGCTGATAATACTTTTAGGATTCCACTAAATGTTATACTTTCTTTAAAAATATTAACCAAAAGTGACTGTAGTAATAATGAATATATACCAATGAACCAGACTGGAAGATATTCACTTTTATACTGATGCAGTTGTAAGATATGATATTTAATATGCTTTTTATGGAAACTGCCCCAAACTACCTAAGACTCACAAAAATCATAATGAGTCCCTCCCCTCTTCCTTCTCCCAAACACCTCAGGGTCTGTGATGCCATTAGGCCCAAGCTAAAGGACCCTTGCCCAGGACCCACATCTTAAAAGATTCCCCCCTATTACACACACACACACACACACACACACACACTTACTTATTAAAAACTCAAGGACCATACTCAGTTCTCAGTGCACTAGGTGCATCCTCACTGAGGAGGAAGGCTGCACCATCTCTCTCCACCTCTCAAAAATGGGAACCTCAGTCAACACTCTCTCAATTTTGGACCATCAGAGAAGAGGAAAAGGAAGAGATTCAGCTGCAGCAACTGGAGATGGACACACAGATATGCAGAAATTTGCATTGGTCAAGATAAACCCTGGCCTATTTGATGAAGGTGTCTATATATTGAACAGAGCAAATTTATACAAGAATTAGTAATAAAGGTTATTGGAGGACTGGAGCAGTAAAAAAGGACCTGAGATGTCCTTCAACAGATGAATGGATAAAGATGTGGTCCATATATACAATGGAATATCAGCCATCAGAAAGGATGAATACCCAACTTTTACATCAACATGGATAGGACTGGTGGAGATTATGCTAAGTGAAATAAGTCAAGCAGAGAAAGTCAATTACCATATGGTTTCACTTATTTGCAGAACATAAGGAATAGCATGGAGGACACTAGGAGAAGGAGGGGAAAAATGAAGAGGGGGGAATCAGACGGGGAGATGAACCATAAGAGACTATGGACTCTGGAAAACAATCTGAGGGTTTTAGAGGGGAGGGGTTTGGGGGAATGGGTGAATCCAGTGATGGGTATTAAGGAGGGCATGTATTAGATGGAGCACTAGGTGTTATATGCAAACAATGAATCATGGAACACTACATCAAAAACTAATGATGTGCTGTATGGTGACTAACATAACATAATAAAATAAAATTTAAAAAAATTGAAGATACATATTGATTTTGGAGGTAAAGAAGATCAGAGATCAGAATTGACTTCTGCAACCAAATGGAATTGTCACATGGCCCTATCTTTGAGCAGCGTATTTTCAAAAAATACACAGTCCAACAACTGAATAATGGTTTTTCAAAGAATTACTTTTAGTTGCATTTGTAACACATAGGAATATGCAGTGTGCAGCAATTCTTAAATCCGGTTTTCCTCTCTCTTCAGTTTCTCTCACCTCTTGGTCTCTCCTCAAATATCTCTTTCTCACTGAGAAGAGTAGAGTGTTTAGATTTTTCCAAGTCTCAGTGTCTGGCTCAAGAGAAGACAGCTCGTGTTACATATGTGTCTCAGTCTCTTTTTTTAATTTATTTAAATTCAATTGAATTAACATACAGTGTATTATAGGTTTCAGAGGTAGAATTTAGTGATTCATTAGTTGCAAATAACACACAGTGCTCATTACATCACGTGCCCTGCTTAATGCTCATCACATAGTTACCCCATTCCCCAACCCACTTCCCCTTCAGCAACCCTCAGCTTGTTTCCTACAGTTCAGAACCTCTTATGTTTTGCCTTCCTCTCAATTTTCATCTTATTTTATTTTTCCTTCCCTTCCCATATGTTCATCTGTTTTGTTTCTTATACTCCACACATGAGTGAAATCATATGGTTTGTCTTTCTCTGAGTGACTTATTTCACTTAACATAATACACTCTAGATCCTACCATGTCA